TATATATATATATATATAACTAAACGAACTTTATGGTTGTACGGCAGTGAAGCATCAGTGCCAACACTGATGTTGCTGTCATTGATGATGATGATGATGATGTAACTTGACTTCGTCCACACGACGTTGACCAATAAAAGTAACTTCTAGCACCATTAGGAGCTCAAAACACCTCGACTCGCTCAGTGGGCTAAGACATTCTGGTCAGTTTGGGTGTGCACAACAAAGGTCACGGAATGTCACCTCTTACACCATCGCAGGCTCAGTTGTCTCATAAACTCAGCAAGTCTGGGTGCCAAAGTTTCGTTCGCCGGTGTCCTGGCAAGGCAATTTCGGATAGATACGTGCTGGAGGAGGGAGCTAACATAATTACAATGTCATTATGCGAGTGTCAGTGAAATTTCCGTTGGGGGATCGGGAGGGGAAGCTGTGTACTGAGGACAACAGCCCAAATACAAAGTACATCCACGCCATTGGGTCATGCCTGCCACCTTCCCTAACCATTCATGTATCCCGTCTAAGTGCTTCAATCCAAGGGAACTTTAGTAACCGGCACTGCTGAGTTTGCTGGTAACAGCTTTCATAGTTGGCCCCAAATCACTGTTTTGTCTATGCTGTGCTTGGTTCTATCTTGTGCGTGGTCGTGTGCGAAGAGCTCTTCGAGGAATTCTTCAGTGTCTATGTCTGGGCCCCTCAGTCGTCTAAGACCAGAGCCAGGTAGTCGCATTTCAGACTGACTGGTTATGTCCACTCGGCAGTTATGTAGGCCGTTCATGAAGCTGTGTACTTTCTGAAAAGCAGTGAATGCTTCCTGTTTTCGGAATTGAGAAAGTTCGTCCATTTGCAGCTCACCTGATTGCGGGACTACTAAGCATGCCGCTTTTCGGAGGTACCGTAACGTCTAAAATAGTTCAGTTGTAATTCTTTTTTTCGGTTCCTAACTGTCATACCAACCGACGGGAGGATGAGGACCGTTATACTGCCACGTTACCGAGCCGTAGACGGGAGCACTGGATATGCTAGAGTTGAGTTCGAACCCCGAGCCTTTCGGCCAGCAACTTTGCGCCCTATCCAGTGAACTATCTCGAGTTCGGCTTCTGAAATTCCAACCTTTTGTTCTTGGGTACAGCTTTGCACAGTCGAGCCAATAGCCTGGATACCTGGATGTAGTGTGAATTAAAGACTGAATATGATTTCGTCGTTCTCTCGCTTTGCATTTCTTCCAGTTGACGCTGGTGACGTTGCTTGAATCAGACGGTAGTCAGCCAACTCACGTTACCAAGCAAACGTTTGCCCACCCAGATGGGGAAGTCATCGACTTGACTGCACTGGCTGCCCAACCAGATTGGGTTGTATCCACCTATTCTGCGTGTGAGTTATTTTCAACATTATCGATTGTTTGCAGGCCAACATATAGTTGGTACTATTGCTACTGTTATTTTTTTATTTTTGGAGAACATGGTCACAAATATGAAAAATAAATTCGGTCGATGGTGTTCGGTGGCCAGTCGTCCCTAATAACCGAACAGCACATCATTTGGACGGATGTGTCACGTGCAGAACACGGGCCAAACGAAGGCACGCCCTGATTGGTCAGAATGCCAGCCAATCCGAGTCAAGCACCTGTGACTCGATGCTTCTCGCCCCCTCACGGAGGTTCTGGCACGACCTTGTGGAACACACTGTGACTACCTTATAAATACAGTTGTAATAATTTTCCTTTGTCTCCATAAGGGGCTGTGTAGAGCTACCGTGCCTTTTGATATACCATAGTGGGTGAAGCAGGAAACCAAGGGACCGATACAGAGTTGCACTACCGTTCAGCAAGTTACAACAGATGGATGTGGAAAATATTGGACTAAACAAGTGGAGTGTTCCATTGGAAGGCGCTCCACCAATTGTTCCATTCTGACAGGATGACTTGGTATGGGAACATACGTGTAAAGATCAGCAGCTGAAGAAAGGACAAACAATGCTAAATGCTCTTTATGGCGCAGTAAGCCCCAGCACAGTCAGGACTCGCAAATCAGGTGAAAAATAATGTCCGTCATACTGGGTCAGGCATAAAAGTCAATGACTAGAGGGGACATTCGATGCCATGCACTGCGCATAAAAGTGTCGCAGGTACGTAGAGAGCCCGAAATGGCGAGCAAACACAAGTCGCTAACTGTGGGGCGAGATGGACCAAGTGGTTAGAGCGCGAATTTACTGGCCGGAAGGTCCGTGGTTTTACCCCTACCTCTCGACTTCCCCCGTCTAGGTTTGGGCAACCTGTCAGTATCCCAGCCCTCGTGCTTCCTTCGGGTGATTGGCAGTTGGGCACCGAAATGGTGCTACAGCTGAACGACCTTAGAAAGTTTCAATCCAGCAACAGCCTTGGCGAACTAAGGAAAGCAGATCGCTCAATATGAAATGATAATCGGCTGGTGAACCGCAGCTCCTCCTAATTCTCTGCACACACTACCCGGTCGTCAGCAGAAACAAAAACACGTACCAAGCCATCGTGGAATCTGTATCCTTGTTGCGGCGTCGACAGTTTCAGGGCCTTATCCATCCCCATGATGAAAAACATTGAGGAGAGTGGATCTCCCTGCCCCGAATCTCTGTGTCAGTGAACCTCGGAATTGGGGAAAACTGCTGCAGAATTTTCCTACGAGTGTGAAATATATCGAGCTAGAGTTGACGGTGCACCAAACACTCCAAACGGCAGATCTGACAATTGTATAATGCGAAACCTTTCGAGGTATCGACAAACGCCAAGTTGAGTTTAGCAGCGGTCACTGGAAAGTGACGAAGCATGGCGTGTAACAATGATGTAACTTTGCATAGCCGTCTTGATGTAGAAATGCAAACTGGAGTGAGCGCAGTTGCAGTATACGGCTCCAGCAATGAAAAAATTGTTCAGCTGTAGCACCCTTTCGGTGTCTAGCTGCCATGCCACACGAAGGAGGCACGAGGGCTGGGATACCGCCCGGTCGCCCAAGCCTAGACAGGGGAATTGAGGGGCGGAAGGCCGGGTCGAACCACGGACCTTCCCGTGAGTAAATTCGCGCTCTAACCATTTGGTCCATCTCGCCCCCAGCAATTAGAAAGCACCTGATGAAAGCGTCAAACAAGAATGGGTGAGATGGAGATCGGTCGCAGTCGGTCCGGTGAAGTTGGATTTGGAACCTTTGGAACTAGGATAATGCGAGCCCGACACATGTGGTGGACAACCTTCAGGTAATAAGAGTAAGTTGAAATATCCAATGAGGGCATTACTGTTGAACGGGTGGAACATCCTGGGCGTGAAGTTTTCCAGACTTGGGGATAAATTACCCATGATAAACGCATCCTACAGCCGACTTCCGCTCTATCAAACTCCAGTTGGACGGTAGCACTGCACGACTTGGCGGCTGTCTACATATTTTGGAACAGAAAGCACTTATTTCCAGTGCTGCCGTGTGTCCACAGGTAGGTGTAGATCCTTCCACAACCCATCGGGCAAATCCCATCTTTAGTAGTATGAAATCTAGATGGTAGCGTAGTTGGCTCGGTGGATCTGCTTTCTGTTGGCCGGTACACGATGGGCTTGCTGAAGAGGGCACCGAGAGGCAGGACTCCACGCGTGTGGAAATGTCTTGAATGCGCTGGGTCCATAAGCGATAGGACTTCTTCCCGTGTGGTAGTGCCACGCTGACCCACTCGGACAAATGTCAGGTCAGTATCAGCGAGCGAAGTGTCGAAATGGGAATCCAAGAGTGGCACGGCACAATCTGTGGTTCGTTTAAACCAGACTCTATAGGCTTCAAATTTAGACAAATAGGCCACTGTTTGACCGATAGTCTCGTCAGAGTCATTAGGTGACTATTCGTCCAGTTGTGCTTGTCAGTAACCAGGTTTTTATGCTGATAGGCGATCGGCCATGAGACTGTTGCCTTACGCCATAAGCTTTCCGGAAACTGCTTGACGATCCACGACCGATTTCACCCCTGTTGCAGCTTAAGTGGAAGTCAGCGCTGACGGAAACTCGCAGACTGCGCCTAACTGATGACCCCCAGGAATGGTGGTCTCACTCATTCTCCGTCTGTCCTAAAATTGGCCAATTTGGTAACCTGCTCATTTGGCCTGGCGAAGCTTTGGTCTCAAAAGCGAAACGTCAAAAGGTACCGATTATTTACCGAGTCCTCCTGAAACAATGACTTCTCACTCGGTTCCAAACTCTTCTCGATTGATTGATAACTCATCTGTGTTCAAAATTTTCTTGAAGGTAGCTAGCTACTCGTATGGTTGCCGAAAAGTGTTTGGCTGCCCACAACCGGTTTCATCATTCCTGGTGGTCATTATTTAGGCGTGGTCCCCGAGTTTCCCTCAACACCGATTTCGACTTGAGCCCCAACAAGGGTGGAACTCCCATTAAAGCCAAGCTGTCGTGCATTTCGCGAGTATCTAGAGCATGTCCATGTACTGCTGCTCTCGCAAGAAGAGGCCACTAGGTCGAAAGGAAGTGTACTCAAGCCTACTCTCCTTGATAGACGGCACATTCGAGACCGAGACTGGTCCTGTGTGTCTATAAGGGATGCCTTCCAGTCATAGGTAATAGACGCTTCATTTCTAGATCGTTTGTTTTCTCTATCATCCGCACACGGTGGATTCACGGCATCTCACGCTCAAACTGATCATGCGATGCACGAACATGGGCAAACTAATACACCCAATGACGGTGACTCAGTTATTACACACTATCAACCGTCCCGTCGTCATGACTCTGGTTCCGATAACCGAATATACGGCTTCATTGGACACTTGTTTGTCTCTGGAACGGTCCTCAGCTGTATGGATGTGTTATATCTGCTGCTGATTCGCTGCAGTGCCTAGTGCCGGAGAAAAAGGACCCACAGAAGGGAACACAACAACTATATTCCGAACATGCGAGTGCGAAGGACACTGTCCGAACTTAGTCCAATGCTGACGCACACGGTCTGACTTTGGTACGAGGCTGTGACGTGCCGCATATTGCGGGGGCGTTGTCTGTCTGATCAACATCTAGCGGAGATTCAGTAGATTTCGGGCATTCAGTGGTTGCTTTCAGGAAGCTGACCTTCCTGATAGGATGCATCACAACTACGTTGTGATAGTGCGAAAATTACTATCAGGTCTACAATAGTCGCCCCTCTGTGACACCCTTTTCGGTGCATAGCTGTCAACTACGTCAGGTTGCCTAAGTCTAGACAGGGACAGTCGAGATTCCGGAGTTCGGCTCGAACCACACACCTTCCGTTTATTAAGTGGACACCTTAACCAAATGTCTAGGCTTGGGCAACCTCTGCCATCGTGCCTCCTTCGGGTGGCGTGGCAGCTAGGCACCGAAAGGGTGTTATAGCTATTAACACGCGATCATGTTGCGATCCGCTATGCGGTATTTCCTATCTACCTCTATTTACTTTGCCCTAAATGTTCCCCCCTCCCTCTGAACAGATTGTATCGATCAGCCGGAACTGCGCAGTGGTGCACGTGTGTGGCGATTGCCCAGCACAGCAAATACCTCCTCTCGTGCTGCTGACGGAAGTGGTGAGTTTCTCGGACTAACGGAGAGAACCGGTGACCCTACAAATACACTGGAATATGTCACCACACTTCCACTTGACCGGTATGCAGGTGTTCGACGGTGAGCTACAGTGCGCTATTCTTGTTTCGGTTACTTATTAGGAGTTTGTGTCGTGGTCTTTGGTTTCTCTCACTGATTTGGGTAATTTTGCATTCTTTCATCACCACTCTTGGAGACCCACTGACTTATCGCTACGCTCCACTTCGCTTCTGATCATGTCTTCAGCAAATGTCATGTACCCATATCTCGATTCCACACCATCAACTTTCGCCTGATGTTTTCCTTTCAGAATCGCTTCTCACCCGTCCTCGACTTGTGCAGATCTGGCTTGTGTTGTCGGTCCACCACGTGACACCACAAGGTAAGCTCAGCATTCGAAACCAATTTGTTGTCGTGCCCACCCGATTGACTGGTACTCAAATTCGAGCAAGGTAATATGGCTGTAATTCCATCCATCACCCGATGAGTGAAACTTCTACCTGAGAAGTCGTTGCTTGAGGAGCCAGTCAACACGTGTGACCGTGATTGAAGGATGAGCGGCGCCATATCATATCCTGTCAAGTGCGAGTTGAACAAACCACTGATCAGCCACTCGTAACCGAACGGTTAAGTGTTCAAACTACTAGCCAGGAGGTCGCGGATTCGAAACTTCGGAGTTTCGTGAGATGCGCACTGTCGATAATTCCCAATAAGGGTGAAACAGCTGTACAGTGCTTCTCGGCTTTTCAGCATAGATTGGCTTCACATACAGGACGAAATCAGCACAAAAATCCCAAATTTCCTCACACTACCAACAAAAGCAGGCTTCCTAGAAATGCAACGCACTACGTGTTTCTATCTTATTTGGCACCAGTGTTGCACAGCAGGGTCGGTCACGTGACCATTGATAAACACGTTTCTGCTGTTGTATACAAACACCAAGATAAAAAAGGGCCTTCGGTTTCAGTAGCACTTTTGCTCTCCTTTTGGACTACTTGATGTTCAACAGCTTCTGCGACCTTTCTGACAGTCCATCTGGTGTGTGGACTTTCAGACGCCGTAGACGTTCGAGAGAGCCGGTGGACGTTAGCGTAATCAGTGTGATTCAATGATTTTTTCATTTCAAAAGGGCACTTGCGTCTGTGTTGTGTAACATCAGTGTTGATCACTGATGTTACACTGTTGATGATGCTGTGTGATTGGTTGATACTCGATGTCACTGCGTGTGCCAACCAGATTCGCGCTTGACGTCTACTGTCACCCCTTTTTCCATAAATTTGTCAATGCTTTTGTCCTCGGGTCATTATCTCAGCAGGTGGGGATCCTAAGATGCGATAGACTCATCCCACAACCTTGTTTTTCTTTTCTTTCCCAAATAATTGGAACAGTTCGAAAGCCGGATTGTCAAGCTCGTCTAATTTGGCCACAAGCTACCTTACTGTTTTGCAAGCTCCATCCGCTTCAGGATCGGGTGACTACCGCGAATCAGCCAGTGCCCAGTTATGCCTTCCACAGTCCCCGTCGGCCATATTCACAAGCCACTTGAGAACCAACCTGGGACATTTGTACAAAACATTCAATTCAGCAGGCCGCTTGGCTATCACCTCGCCACCGTACGCTATACGCTGGTCCTCTTATCAACAGGCCGGACAGTTGGCTGTGGCTTTCGAATCTGGTGTTTTGGGATGGGATATTCGATCGATGAAGTACGTTCTAAATCCGTCCACTCGTGCAGTTTCTAGTCCCAAATTCTATCTAAGATGAGGCTAATAGAAGGCGAACGACACTCCTACACCCTGTGTCCTTGGTGTTTTTTTTCTGTGCCAGACCTTCCTTCTGGCTCGAAGCAGCCCACTGGCCGTGTGTTCGCGATCTGGACTTCAATCCACACCGTCCAAATCTACTGGTCACTGGAGGGGATGATGGTTATATACGGCTTTGGGATCTACGCTTCTTAAAGCCGAAACCCCGCTCGGACGTTTCGGCCACCAAAGATTACAAAACGTTATCCCGCGCGGAATCCGAGTTTTCAACGAAACCTCTCTACTCCATCCAGGCACATTCCCACTGGGTAAGTTTGAGCTGCCCGCTCCGTTGACTCCCCAGTGTGGGGAAAGAGGATACCTAGTCTCTCATCCGTTATCTCCGAACAGGTTGGTAGCCTCAGATGTTTTCAAACCTGTAATAAACGATGCAAAGCGAAAGCTCCGTAAACATATTTGTCGACTTGTTCCTCTTGAGAAACCATCATGGCTTCTTGCTGAGGTGGACTACTTTTGCCACGGAAATCATCCAATGAGTAATGCAGTTTTTTGTGACCAACCTGTAGCGGTGGGCGAGATGGCTCAAGTGGTTAGAGCGCGAATTTACTGACCGGAAGGTCCGTGGTTCGAATCCGACCTCCGCCACTCGACTTCCCCTGTCTAGGCTTGGGCAACCTGTCAGTATCCCAACCCTCGTGCTTCCTTCGGGTGGCATGGCAGCTAGGCGCCAGAAGGGTGCTACAGCTAAACGCTTTCTTTTCTTTCAGACTCCAACAACAGCCTTCCCGTAGAAATGTGACTGGGCGTTGTTTGCTGCACGCTGTTGACAACAGATGCAGGTTTGTCGCTACCACCACAACCAGTTAGAAACAAATATAGCAGTATACAACAAGGGCCAGTGAAGATGGGTCATCGCTCACAGAATCGGTGTTCGAGGGTCTATGCCGAGCATTTCTCGCCAAATTTCAGTGGGCTTTTAGTCGTTCCACAGCCCAAGGCCGTCCCCCAAAAGAGTGTACTTTCTCCTCAGAAAGCCTATGCGTCTGGCCATCTACAAAGCAGGAGGACTCAATAAAGGAAACTACTCACAAGGTTGCTCTTCGACAGCCTACGACGGGTTTCGCCCTTCTTGGGGCTCATCAGGTGGGCGCAGTCCCCGAGTTTCCGTCAACCTTATGATCTACTTGCACCCAAATTGGATCGATTTCAACAAATACTGATTGATTGATTTGCGAATGAGTGTATTTCTCGAAAACAGTCCAATTTGGGTTCAAGCAGAACATAAGGTTGACGGAAACTCGGGGACTGCGCCTACCTGATGAGCCCCAAGAAGAGCGAAACCGGTCGTGGGCTGTCGAAGAGTTTTCAGCAACATTGTGAGTAGTTTCCTTCATGAAGATATACTGCGATATCTCGAATATCGTGCCAACTGAATCATGAGGCGGCCTGTGTGCAGCACATTCAGTTGTAGATTATCATGAACGAGAGATTCATTTGAGTCTCTCGCGAAAACCAAATTGATTTGCAAATTAGTGTATTTACCTAAAACCTCGTTGACCTTACTGAACAGTGGTTTGAATTCTGATGCTAAACACCCGCTTGTTACTACCCGGTACTTCTGTCGGTTTGCTTCGCATTTTTGAACACAACTTGAGGCCTTGTGTTGCCAATTTCGTAGAATATTTATACCGCACTATTTTTTTAATATGCGATGTTTCGAAAGCTATTGAAATTAGGCTACGAGTCAAGAGAGTCCTCAGGTGAGAATCTGTCCACCACTGCACAACTTGAACGCTGATTCTAATTTCGAGTAAAGTTTTCGTTGCAAAGTATATTGAAAATGTGACCTTGGGGCTACCTAAGCCTAGGATGACAACCGATGCTCAAACACCATCTGTTTTCAGATTGGTCATACTACTCCAAGACTTCGTTTTTTATCGTTAATCAGTATCGATTTCCGATAAACCTCTTGAAATCCAAGAACTAATGGAGATTCCACTTGGGATACTTCGAAAGCTGGATGGAACCAAAGGGGGTAATCTTAGTCGCTGTTCACCTCACCAACTTTTTGGTCGCCGCTGTCTAGACCTGTGTAGCCCGGTAACATTTCGTCCTATCCACTGTTTTCATGGTAGTTATGTGATGAAGGCCTGCCATGATCAAAGTCGGGTTGCACAACTAACTATTTTGTAGAGACATCATTGCCGAATACTTCTGGTACTTCTTTTAATTTTTCTCTAACTGTTACATTGATGTCAAAAATCATATATAAAAGAGGCCAAATCGCTCTCCCTCCTCGGTGGCTTCCCTTCGAGGGGAAGTGCGATTGCAGTTTGCGGCGTCTTCGTGCACTGAACGTCCTTCCTAAAATTCAAACGATTTCAAATAACCTAACTAACTCTGCTGCATGGTTTGGCATGCGCTTCACACCTAGAAGACTGGATGAGATCAAACCCACACCTCGTGCTTGTAGGTGAGCCAATCGACGTGGTAGATACATTTGTTTACCTGGGCAGCTGTATCAGTTCAAATGGACTGGCTGGAGATTACCTCTCGAATCGGAAAGGTCAGAGCAGCTTTCGCCAACCTCCGACGCCTATGGCGCCGACATGACGTGAGTTTATCTGTCAAGGGAGGAGTTTACACTGCGGTTGTGCGGTCCACACTGCTTTAGGGATCAGAGACGTGGCCCGTACGCGCAGAGTATATACGGAAAATGTCGGTGTTTGATCATCGGTGTCCCCGAAGCACTGGTCAGGTCTGGTGAGAACGTCGGATTAGAGATGCTGAGGTACGCCAGATGGTCTTAGGAAGAAGGAACTCTCCCGCGGTAGATGAATTACTCACGCTTCATAGGTTGCACTGTTTAGGACGTACTCCGCATGCCAGAAGACTGCCTGCCTCACATAGCTCTTTTCGCCCAGCCCTATGCTGAGTTGAAGTGACCGAGAGGTGGACAGTGTATGACCTGGCAACGAAGTACGGAAACACTAACCAATAAACTTAGTCGAGTGGTCAACTGACGCCTCCTTGGATGGGGACCCCGGGGCTCAAATCGCCAGCAGTTAATGATATTGGCAGAAATAGCCCAATCGCGCAGTCAGTGGTGCTTGTGCATCAAAGCTATCGCCTTCCAATGCATAGCCCTCCAATGCCCGGACAAACTGAACATTTCATCGCCTCCAAGACCTGACCGTATACCCACTCTCCCGTTTTCCAGTGATCGAAACGGTAACAGCTGGAACCAATGTGTCTATGATACACGGTTTATTGTATTGTATTCAATTGAATTTGGTTTATTTATCTACCCAACTTTTTAGTCGCCGCTGTCTAGACCTGTGTAGCCCGGTAACATTTCGTCCTATCCACTGTTTTCATGGTAGTTATGTGATGAAGGCCTGCCATGATCAAAGAGTTTATGTTATTAGCGAAATACACTCATTTGCAAACTAATTTGGTTTTTCGAGAGACTCACCTGAAACCAAGCTGAATCTGTTGTTTGTGATGTTTCCAGGCAACTAAATGTGTTGCACCAGGCCAGGAAACATCACAAACGAGAGATTCAGCTGGGTTCCAGGTGAGTCTTTCGCAAAATCAAATATATTTTCAACTGAGTGTATTTCGCTAATTTCGTGCAATTTGGTTTCACGTAAGACATAAGGTTGACGGAAACTCGGGGACTGCGTCTACCTGATGAGCTCCAAGAAGGGCGAAACCGGTCATGGGCTGTCGACGAATTTTCAGCAACTTTTTCAGTAGTGCATTACAAAGTTTATGTTATTCCATCGGATGAGTCATGTTGACTCATTCACGCACGCAGTCAATTTTAACGGTCAGAGTTCGAACTGACTCAAGTAGTATGGCAGATTGATAGCAAATTCACGGACACCATCAATCGGCTGTCGGGGAGTTTTTACCAATCCTCCCATACAATACTTCGACGAGTTGGAAAACGTCGCACAATAGAGAGCCAATTGATGTTCAACTAAATCCCCCGTTAAGGTTACCTCAGCACAACCTGTGTACAATAGTGTCTTCAGTTTGATGGTAAACTCGGGTTTTATCCCTATACGCTCAAGCATAGCAAAATGCACAGTGGTGGACTGTCGCCAAAGTTCTATCAGTCTTCGTTTACTAATTAATTCTGAAATTCCGAGGTCGGTCGTTACCCTTGTACCCACTTATCTGGCGCGCTTGGTTTCAATCTCGACAACTGTCGTTCAGCTGTAGTACCCTTTCGGTACCACCCGGCGGAAGCATGAGGGCTGTGATGGCGCCAGGTTACCCATGCCTGGAGACAGGGGAAGTCGAGAGGCAGAGGTCTGGTTCGAACCACGTACCTTCCGATCAGCAAATTCTCACTGTAACCACTGTGCCATCTCGCCCCCTCCGACAATTATGATGTGCGTACTACCCAACAGCGAGAACACAGTATGTATCTGATCTAGTAGGCACCCGTTCATATTTAGTCGAATCTATCATTCTCAACGAAGCATGAAAGTTCTTACTAGTCAACTCATTCGCTTTGGTAAATGCCGTCCCATGGGTGATGACCGCGGGACGAGACAAACCAGTGTTTAGTGGTTCTGACAAAAATTACTGTGCCACGCAGCCAATGGCGCCCTCGCGTCACCTTCAATGCGCAGCTCTCACTTGCTGTCCTATCGGACTATCGCCTCCGATGCCCTGTCCACACTGAACGAGGCTGTGGTAGCTGGAACCGAAACACTGAACTGATCGTCTGTGTGGAACTGTGCGAGTTTCTCCACCAACGACTCCTTACAATGAAGTATGCGCAAAATATTCAACGTGTATTGTATACAGTTATCCAAGTAAGTTATTCGAGCAACGTTTGACTCTCCATATTCATCGCCGTTTTCTCCACTGAGCATATGAATTTCCAGCTCGACTGGACCATTTCCCTTACTCCACCACCTAGTCGCATGTAGTTGCATGCCTATAGGATTGTGTTACTGGCTCGATTCGCATCCGTGTCCATCTACGTCACTTGCAGGTCTGGTGTGTTCGATACCATCCAACACGAGATCAACTCCTTCTCTCCGCCGGAAGTGACTGTCGCGTTTACATGTACAGTTTGGCCAGCTTTTCTTCCGATGCAATATTCCGATCCACAGACAATATGAACTCCGATCGTGAACAGCTCAGCGATCATCGTTCGGTTGGCTCGTCTGGCAACAGCGTGAATGGTGAAATCCCCCGAGGAGAAAAGTGGGTTTTTTTTGTTTCTCATCACTTTGGGCTGATTCGTATGAGTTCCAACCACACTTTTCATTGTTGCTAGTGTGAGGAGATTTTGGAATTTGGATGGGGTTTTTGTAGTAACGGTATTTTCCTCAGCTTAGTTCTCGGTCTGAGCCTCCCAAGCTAGCGTTCACGTCAAAACAACCACCAAAGGTGCACAAGGTATATTAACGCCCAAAACGAAGTCAGGAACAGCTGTACAGCGCTTCATATATGTAGCGTAGGCGGCTATAAATTTCTGGAAATTCTGTCGTCATTGGCGTCATTGGCAACCGGCATTCGACCAATGCTGGGTCATAATTGGCTGTTGGGTCCTGACTTTCGACCAATCAGATCTCGGCTTGATGCCGGACCGGCAAGCGTCCTGAATTATTGGCCAATTATGCGTGCGAGGGACTGCTCGGCCGTAGCAGCACCTGAAGGCGAGCGGTAAAGCGGGATCCGTGTGGAATTCCGCCTAATAGTTTTCATCCTCCAAGTAGTTCACCAAAATTAAATTTCCGTCTGAGCAGTCGTCACTCGAGGAGGCAGTCAACACGTACGACCACGTGATATGAATCCCATAAGTAAAGGATGAGTGGCACTGTATCCCGTCTGAGGCGGTCGCGGGTTCGAAACTCTGCGTTTCTTGAGACTGCTAACTATTCCCAAAGTGGATAAAACAGCTGTCCAATGCTTCTCGGAGTTCAGCAAAGGTTGACTTCACTTGAAGGACGAAATCCCCACGAAAAACGTTGCATTCTGTTCAAAATATGCATCGCCAGAAATGGCTTCTGAGCCTGTAGACTGAGCCTAGCTGTATCTGGCAGGCATTATATACGTGCTTCATGTCAAAAATGTCTTTCTATTCAACGACGACTTTGTTTTTCGTAAGATAGATTGAATGGCTGTGCGGACTAAAAAATTGTGGCCGGTTCCATCCCCAGTTACCAAGATCTCCGACGAAGACAGTCCGCCTTCAGGAGTTCTGTCAACTTCGATTGCAGACAGGTATAAGCGGAGAGGATGAATTAACAGAGAGGTGTTAGGCTGAAATATCTATCATGTATGAGGTAGACAATGTCGGTATCGCATCTTCTTTCAGAACCGTGATGAGTTTTATTCTTTAAATCCGTGGATTATCTTCCTATGTAGTACGGGTACGGTGATCCAAATTCACTGGCAGACTACTGGCTGTTTTGGCGTTTTTCTGGAGCTCATCACCTAGCCGTATTCGCTCAATTTCGGGTAGAATATTTTTTTATCTAAGCATCACGACCGTGCAAGTCCATGCGAGCAGTCTCAAACAGGGCAGAACCTGTTGCGGGCTGTTAGCAAATTGTGGTCGGTCATCCGTCACTGCTTACAAAAGCATGCATTAAGTGAGTTCCTCGAAAAGCCGAATTAGTTTGCAAATGAGTGTATTTCCCGAAAACAGTGCAATTTGGGTTCAAGTAGAACATAAGGTTGATGAGAACTCGGGGACTGCGCCTATCTGATGAGCCCGAAGAAGGGCGAAACCGGTCGTGGGGTGTCGACATCAGCAAATTAATGAGTGGTACATTACAAATATATACATGTATCGCGATATCTCGAATATCATCGTAGCGACTGAAACATGAGGCGGCCTGGTGCAGCACATTCAGTTACCTGGAAACATCACAAACGAGAGATTCAGCTGGGTTCCAGGTGAGTTAACAAACGAGGAGTTCCCGGTCACTGTTCAACCGGAAATTAGCTACGGATGAACCATCTATGCTGCTTTGGTCTTGTTCTTCCTGTGCTGAGGGATCGGCCGGTGCTGCCGTAATATTTTTTCATTAAAAGAAGGCGCAGGTTGGATAAGGTTCAAACTGAGCAATGGAACCGTAAACAGTCCGATAATGAGTTCACCAGGTTCGTCCATGTCATCTCCAGGAGTGGAATTACTCGACAACAGGCGATTTCGTATGAGCGCGAGATAGGCTGACTTATTGTTCAGAAGGTCCGAGGTTCCCACCCAACCTCTGGATTTCGACTGCTCCTGTCTACGCTTGGACAACCTGCCAGTATAGCTCATCCCTCGTTCCTACTTCGGGTAGCATAGCAGCTAGGCACCGAAACTACGTTAGGGCAAAACGACCGAGTTGGTCGATTGATGCCTCACTCACAGTGTCTCCATTCACCCGTTCTTATCCCATTACTTCTGCTGAGTCGTTTGATTTTCTACACTATTGGTTCATCTATCCACATATGGCGATGATCCGAACCATGATACATATGTGAACCGTTCAGCTGTAGCACCCTTTCGGTGCCTAGCTGCCATGCCACCCGAAGGTTGCACGAGAGCTAGGATACTGCCAGGTTGCCCAAGCCTAGACAGGGGAAGTCGAGAGGCAGAGATCGGGTTCGAACCACGAACCTTCTAATCAGTAAATTCGCGCTGTAACCACTTAAACCATCTCGCCCCATGATACATATGTACCGATTTCTATAATAAACTAGTGGACCTTCAGCCTGCTGACACCATCTTTGAATTATTGTTACCCTATAACGACGGTTTAGTCTGTATGCGTGCGCAACAAGTTACCGTATTCCCTTTCCAAAACAGGACTTCTGATGGTCCCATTGGAAAACTGGAACAGCACGAGGAGAGCGTTTATGCAGTCGACTGGAGTCCGGTTGACCCGTGGTACTTTGCCTCGGTGAGCTACGACGGTAATCTGTTGATCAATCAGGTCCCAGAGCCGGTAAAGCTGAATATCCTACTACACACTCAGGAAGAGTGACCCTGTGATATGAACGGCCCATTTCTTCGTGATAGTGTTTTTTCCATTTGTTTCTCATAAAATATATTATACCTTTCGTGAATTTTTTTCATCAGACTTCCATTTGATCTCTGAAGACTATGCATTTGTGACTTTTCATATCCAAGATTTCGGTTCACATCTATGGTTAATCTGAGTAAACGTTCTTCAGCAATGCACAGCAACGCCAGTGCCGGTTGACTGTCCACGAGACTGTCGACCGCATACTTTAGAACCCTCATCATAGGTGCGCAGTGCTTGGAGATTGTGAATCCTCAAGATCTGGACGCAGGATTTCAGGCTTCAACAGGCATCAGGGCGTTCTTGATGCCAGTCCAAGACCGACTGTTTTCGCACCTCGCCCGCGGTTGAAAGGTCTGACCAATTTTGCAGCCAAGATGCTCGATTCAGCTCAGTTTGCCACCGATCATTAAGGGGAGACGATTGCGCTCACGGGACTAGATCATTCTCTTCCAAGAGTCATTGGTAGGACAGGCTCGCAATCGGAGATATACTGTACTTGCAAGGAAGCAATGAACATCTACAGAGGATCTTCAATCAAAAGTTTACTTGGGTGGGTCAGCGCGAGAATTTTACCGACTCTGTTTCACCGAAACTGCACGACGGAGCATCGAAGGTTTGCATGCCGGAAATATTTCCGGCACAGAGTGACTCATCTCGTCAGTATCCTGTGGGATCGGTTTCTGGGAAGAAACGTGTGGGTGGGTGCACAAATGTGCCCTCCAATGTCGGTTTGGCTTGGGGAAATAAACACATTCGGTTGAGCTACGTCTGACCTTTATTAGTTGTCCACTGTTAAGACGGATGCCCGAAGACCGAGTCCCCTTCTAGTCACCTCCAAGTTTGTTTGTAATGTTCCTGTGGAGCCTGACAGAACAACGAGCACGCATTCAACCTTCTTCAAAACTACGAGAAGACAACGGACGAGATATCAACATCTCTCTTCAGCTAGTCACGTAAAACGTACATTCACAGCTTTACTCACTGGCAAATAAGGTTAGAACAAAAAAGGGGCAGACATCCAGAGGGAGGACGGAATATTCGGGTGGTAGTGCCAAGGTAGACAGGTGTTCTGAGTCAGTAACTTTGGCGCACATAAAATTGATTGTCTCAGCTTGTTCAACACTCTCGCGGAATGCTAACATCCGAGCATCTGACGGCCCATCAGAACACACACAAAATGGTCGCTTTAATGTAGACAACAGATTGAGAGAGCTGTAATTCAACGGTGCCCGAACACACATAAACAATATTGACCGCATATTCTTAGTCTCTGGGTCACCTTTTCGGACCAGTTCCATTCAGCAGACATTCCAGTCCGTGGTCGGGACTCGATTGAACGAATTCGGTCAGCTGTTAAACCCCTTCGGTGGCTAGCTGCCATGCTACCCGAAGGAAGCACAAAGGTTCGGATACTACTAAGTTGCCTAAGCCTAGATAGAATTAGTGGAGATGCAGAGGCTGGGTCCGAACCACGGACCTTGTGGTCAGTAAGTTGGCACCCTAACCACTGAGCTACCGCGAGTGAACGAATTCATGCCATGTGCAAAAGAGAACGTTTGGTTACTTCCGGAGCTAAGGATTACGTGTGGCTTCTTGCACATCAAAATTTCAGGGAACCTGCGGCAACTGTCCCCAGCGTCATGTTGGGAACCTACGTCAGTACTCGGTAATTTGGTCAGCAGGATCCTTCCGACGTAGAAAAAACCACATGAACAGCATTCGCGTTGAGATGATTTTACCTGTGTGAGGCCCTGTCCGTCGTGTCACATTCCTCCCCTCACTATACTGCGCTGCCGGTGTTCCACTACATCTTCGGGGTGACGTTTTAGCTGAGCATCACATTGGGAAGAGATCGGTCGTTCCGCTGTTACCACGGTGGTAGTACGGTTGCCCCTGTAACATGGCGAATTAGTCTTGGGGATGTTTGGTGTCGTTACTCGTTAAACGGATTCTCGGTCTGTTTATCGCGTGTGTTTTCAATGAGTGTCGACATTCACGCGGAGTTGATTTCAATGCAACCAGTAGTGTGCTGTTTTCCAGCTCGTCCTGGCAAACTACTGTACACCTTCACTCCCTATCCCATTCATTTTGATCTGGTTCTCATGTCTAATTCACACTACAGCAAACTTGAAAACAGGCTACTTATGACTTGACAGGAGCTACTGCGTTTCTACCTGGTCCAAGATGCAATGACCCTAACTTGACCTTGAGATAAGTTCTTGAACAGAGCGGCCTTCTTTCCTGTATTATCAAAAATTATGGCAGTGCTTGACGATTAAAGGGCTCCCTACTAAATTCATCCCTTATGAGGGCACCTTACGCGAGGGCCTGTGCGCAAACAGCAAGAGTTCACCACATCCAGCGGGGTAAGACAAGGCTGCCCTCTCCAACTTTGTCGTTTGCGTACTGCTTGGAACTTCTGTGCTTGACACTGAGACCCCAGGGATCGAAGTGCTCGCAGGGCGTCCGCTCACAGACAATGACTTCACGGATCATGTCACTGTTCTTGGTTCAGATCCCTCAAAAATGCAAGCTATTCCGAATAAGTCAAACTATTGTGCGCCTTGGTATGCGCCTCGTCTACAGTGTAAAGTGCTGCTAAGAAAATGAGCGGGATCAATCCCAAACCGGCCAATCGACGTGGTAGATAAGTTTGTCTGTCTGGCCATTTGTGTAAGTTACGGTGGGCTGGCTGAGGGCGGGAAGATCACGGCAACTTTTGCCAACCCTCGGAATATATGGCACCGGCGAGGTGTAAGCTTGAACGCTACCGATAGTGTACACTGCTGCGGTTCGATCCGTAATTCTTTATGGATCGGAAACTAGGCCTTTACGCGATGAGGAAATACGGAATCTGTCAGTATTGGTCATCCGTGTGTCTGAAGCATTGGACAGTTCTGGTGGAAGCATCAGATGAGCAATCCTGAGGTGGGCTGATTGGTCTTTGGAAAAGGAACCTTCCCACGATGTGTTAGTTAGTTACTTCCGGATATGTACTTCGTATGCCAGAGAACCGTCTGCCCCGGAGAGCTCTATGATTCGATAAAGAAGTAGGAAAACACTAACCAGTACACTCAGACAGGCCAGCAACTATCGTCTCACTAAGTAGAGACCCCGGGGGTCAACGGTTAGTGTCACTGGCTTGATCACGCAGTCAGTGGTGCTCGTGCATCGAATCTGCTGCATTTAGTGCGTAGCTGCTCAGTTTTCCGCCCCTTCAGAGCAACATATGATCCGAACTAACCGACATCACCCCCAATACTGGACTGTCTTCCACTTTCCAATGACCGAAGTCAAGTGACTGAAGCAAGCAACTGAACTGACATAAGTCAACTTGCAATCGTAAGTTTTCCGAGCCTTCTTCATGTGAGGCCAATCCCATTCAGGCTCGAAGTTCAGCCTTTTGGACACAATCAAAATGACTTGCTATTCTGCAGTTCGCCAGTACGGTACTTTCTCAGGAGATAAGTTTCTAGAGAGCGCATGGTGTTCTCGGCAGCCTACCGTGAAAACGGTTATCCGCAGCTGCATGGCTGTTCCACGCGAATAGCCTACAAACCCGTGAGAGATGACAGAGATCGAATACCTACCCGTCACGAAGAGACTGGACCTTACCGTGGTGTGGCGGCGGCCCATTGAGCTATACTGGGAGATGTCCGCACGACACTCACAGAGTATCATACCAGGTTGGACCATGGGTTGAGCTCTGACGAACACAGTCTCCCGGCCCTTCTTGTTGAGGGTTGGAACATGTATGGCGACGTGTTCCGTAAAAAAAATGGCAATGCGCTTGCATTCCCAGACGAACCCAGCTGCCTTGCGGTTGGGCTTTTGAGCCAAAGGCTTTAGTTGAGGACCCTAATCGTCCTCCTATCTATGTGTGGGCGCCCTGGCAGTATCCCAGCCCTTGTACAACCATGACATACACAACTAACAATACCTACACAAGCAAAAATGAGTCTACTTCAAACGCTAAAGTCCAACTCTCTAGTCCCGCCGTATGCAATCCGACCGACCAGTGCCTAATCGAAAACATCCAGGGATAGTCCCAAATCGACGTTTTGGGGGCAAAAACAAAACCAAAGAGTCTTTTGTATCAGAAGCATCAAATACGCAAGGACGGACTGTACAAAAGAAATGCATAAATATGTAAAATTTCAGTCAACTGGATTCAATTCCCCTCATAGTTATTGGATCCCATTCTACTCGTGGCTTCTTTTCTCCCGTGGAGTGGTTTGGAGTCTGCGAAGGAAAATCAAACAGAAACGAGAGCTACATACTGGATCGGCAAATGCAGATATTCACAGATCAGAATCCCCCTTCCTTAGGCATTTTTTATGCAGACAATATTCGGATGGGTTACCTCTGTGCGCAGAAAAGGTTTGGTGCCATATCGTTTAAACGAAAATCCACCGTAACATGGCCAATTTCCATGAGAGCTCTGTCTTTGACCTATCAGCATTGGCTGCCCCACAGTTCCAAGAATATTTCCAAGGTTGGCGTGCTAGTGGAAGCATAATAACAGTTTCAGTTTCATAAGGGAAACTACTCACAAGGTTGCTGAAAACTCGACAACCCACGACCGGTTTCGCCCTTCTTGGGGCTCATCAACGAGAGATTCAGTTGAGTCTCTCGTGAAAACTAAATTGATTTGCAAATGAGTGTATTTCTCGAAAACAGTGCAATTTGGGTTCAAGTAGACCATAAGGTTGACGGAAACTCGGGGACTGCGCCTACCTGATGAGCCCCAAGAAGGACGAACCCGGTCGTGGGCTGTCGAAAAGGTTTCAGCAACCTTGTGAGTAGCTTTCTTTATGAAAATATACTGCAATATCTCGAATATCTGCCAACATGAGGCGGCCTATGTGCAGCACTTTCAGTTGTAGACTATCATAAACGAGAGATTCAGTTGAGTCTCTCGTGAAAACCAAACTGATTTGCAATGAACCCCAATGACGGGTTCATCCGGTGTCCCCAATTGCACACAAACATACAATGACGTTTTGAGCGTGATAAAAAAAAGGTTCGCGGTCGGAGGTGAGCCTACCTGATCAAGGTTGACGGCGGAACGCTTGCGTTCCAGTTGACTTTCCTGAATGTAGGAGGGAGTGGAGTTCTGTGCGACCGGATCACCACCCGACTCAACGGCAGTAGCTGTGGGAAAACTCGTCGTGGACGACGTTGATGCCATGCTGCCCACCAGTATCCGCGCCGCGGCTGGATTTCGCGCGGGACGACACCGTTGTGCCTGTTGCTGTCGACGAAGTTGTAGTCTGGAAGCAGAAAGCAGGGTTTGTTAAAGCCAACCAATCGGGTGAGCACAAATACAGCATGTTTCAGATGAATTCAGGCGTTTGTAGTTGGTTTCATATGAACAGTGGCTTACCGTTTGACCAGTTCATCATCGTCCAGTAACAGAGATACCATGTCAGAAGAGGTTAACTGATCAGTGCTTTGTTTGGCTGGCAGCAAGCTCCTGGCTCCGTTATCCTGACCTGAGTGGATAACCATCTGTTGCATGGCACGTTTCTCCTCGGCTCGTTGCATCATACGTCCCTCGATAGTGTTTTGACACACCAAGCGATAGACAGTTACCTGCACAGAGGTGAGGAAAGGTTGAACTACTGCACAGCTACTCATTACCCATTCTCCGGTTAATGTCATACCCAGTACCAAATTGGAAGACCTACGTAGATCGAGGTGTGTCTGTTGTACAGCATTCTCGTCAACACGGACTTACCTTGTTCGACTGCTCAACAAGTAGGCCCCAGCGGTTTTCGAAAGCCGTCACTTATATTTAGACAAATGACATGGTGTTCAATGGGGACTGCTCGATTGCTTCCCTACAAACAGCCAGTGTCAAAACGAATACCCAAGCGCCATCTGTCTACCAAACTGACCATTAATAGACTGCTGGGATGGACGCCGAAGCTGGCACTCAAATCCCTGCTGGTGAGACACTTCTTGACCTTGAGTATGCATTATCCCCAACTTCTTAGATGAAGAGAAAGCAGGGTTAATGGCATGTGCTTTAATCTACGATGTGGAGGAATGCATCCCATCCAATTTACGCAGAAACACCCAGTTCAGATCTCGGTAGGTGTAAGATAACTGCGACGGAAGTTAGTTACCGAAATCAGTGCGCAAACCTTGATGGTCTGGAACAGATTTACCATTTGTAGCGCCGTTACGGCAACACACACCTAGATCTGCACCACGAAAACATGCGAGGTGTCTTGTACAGCAGCCATGGGTTTTCAATTTCCGAACCAGCAAGGTCCTTTGAAAGGAGGTTTTCACTCGCGCGGCACATAGTTGCAAGTGCCATGGTTGTACGTGGGCTGGGATACTGTCAGGGCGCCCACATCTAGACAGGAGGACGATTAGGGTCCTCAACTTTTGGCTCAAAAACCTAAGGCAGCGGTTTTTGGCGGGAAATGCAAATGCATCACCATTTCTACGGAACAAGTCGCTACACACGTTCCACCCCCAACCTGGAGGGCCAGGGGACTGTGTTCGTCAGACCTCTAGTCATTGAACAACCTGGTATGAGAGATTCTGTGAGTGTCGCGGGGGCACTCCCCAGTATAGCTCAATGGATAGCTGAGTGCGCCAACCGTCGCATCACGGTAAGGCCCGCGTAGTGCGAGCCTATGACCGATGTCTCGACTGCTCCTCTCAGTTGTTGGGCAACTTGGCAGTATCTCAGCCCGCATGCTCCCTTCGGGTGGCATGGTAGCTGGATGTTAAAGCCGAATTATTGATGAACACCAATAGGTGCAACAATGAGGACCGTTCATTCAGAACAAACTGGAGGGAGAGAGCAACAAGAACAGAAACTAAAAAAGGCCGGTTCCTAAAAAAATCAGAACACCAGCGATAGGCATCCAGTGTGCGGGCAAAATTTTGCCCGTTAAACACATAGAAACGATCCGACGCTTACCGGTTTTGTTTGTCCCAGACGGTGCGCTCGATCCATAGCTTGCTGATCAACCGTTGGATTCCAGTCGGAGTCATAGAAAATCACGGTGTCCGCTGCGGTCAGATTTATCCCCAGTCCGCCCGCACGTGTTGATAGTAGAAAGACGAACCAGCGCGAACTGGACTGCCATTGGGCTACCATGTCACGGCGATCGCACAGACGCGATGAACCGTCCAGTCGGAGATAGGCATGTTTTCGATAGATCATAAAGTCCTGTGTACGTGGTAAAACAGCGGAAGCAAATGAACAATAGCCGGTGGATCAACAGTGATGCACTCTTGGAAACTCCCATTCAGCAAAATCTACATAAGGAATGAGTGGGTGCACACAGTTGCCGAAGCATTGCGAGTCTTCAACCAGCTGATGTTTCCACAACGGCGAATTATGCAACCGATTATGATTACGAATGAACAGAAGTGCAAAAACATAAAGAAATTAGGTTGTGACTAGGAATGAAGTAACTCGCTCTGTACGGACCATGAAGTGGACAGGTCCTAAGTGGATACAGGAAGATACACAATGCTTACTGTCCAGAGGCCAGCCGTCCCTAATAACCGAACATCACATCATTTGGACGGATGTATCACGTGCACGAAACGGACCAAACGAAGGTATGCTCTGATTGGTTAGAATGCCAGCCAATCCGAGTCGAACATCTTTGACTTGACACTTCCCCCTCCCCTCACGGAGATTCTAGCACGACCTTGTGGAACACTCCGTGACTACCCTATAAATACAGTTGTAGTAATTTTCCTTTGTCTCCATAGAGGACAGTATAGATTTACTGTGCCTTTTGATATACCATAGTGGGCGGAGCAGGAAGCCAAGGGACCGATACAGAGTTGCACTACCGCTCACCAAGTCACAACACTTACCTCCAGTATGTCAATCATTCTTGTCATCTGAGAATAGATTAGTACACGGTGACCTTCTGGCTTCAACCGATTCAACAGTGCATCCAAGGTAACCAGCTTGCCCGAATCCGAGACTCTCGTGGCCACGGGTACGGGTTTGACGGTTAGGGGGAACATTCTCTGGCAGGAGATGAAAAAATCAGGAACCGTGAATGTGTTGGAAACTGATTGCCGAACTCTTTGCGGGAAGGACAGCCGAGTTTCACGTTCGCAGAACCAGGGTACTCGAACGTGAAGATGCGTGGGTTGAAGAACCACCTATGCGGAAAATAGAGAAAAAACTGTCACACTAACGACCAAGGACGAACTGTTCATAAGTTACCGGTCTCTAGACATGACACAGCTAATAAGCCCCGACCGCCCAAGAGGAAAACCGCGACAGTGAGCGCAATGCTAACCTCACAGACATAGCCCCTCCTTCTCAAGGTTATGCAGAAAAACAGGCCGGTTCCAGAAACGGCTGTTCGACTCATAAATATATAAAACACCACAATGGAGATCCTTATCTGCAAACTATCCTGCTCAGTAAATTTTACGTTAAATGGCCCATCAAAAATGCTGGCACTATACTATTTCGAAACAACTGAATGCTCCGCATAACCTATTATCCATAGTTCAGCCTAGTCTCAGTGGGCCAATAAGAATATCTTTGTAAAGGAAACTACTCACAAGGTTGCTGAAAACTCCTCGACAACCCACGACCGGTTTCGCCCTCCTTGGAGCTCATCGACGAGAGATTCCGTTGAGTCTCTCGTGAGAACCAAATTGATTTGCAAATGAGTGTATTCCTCGAAAACAGTGCAATTTGTGTTCAAGTAGATCATAAAGTTGACGGAAACTCGGGGACTGCCGAAACCGGTCGTGGGTTGTCGAAGAGTTTTCAGCAACCTTGTGAGTAGTTTCTTTTATGAAAATATACTCCGATATCTCCAATATCGTGCCAACATGAGGCGGTCTGTGTGCAGCACTTTCAGTTGTAGACTATCATAAACGACAGATTCAGTTGAATCTCCGGTGAGAACCAAATTAATTTGCAAATTAGTGTATTTCTCGAAAATTACTTTGTAAGTTTACTACTTATAAGCCATGTTCCAAGGGCACGCTGATTCCAGCTGCTACAGTCTCGGTTACTAGGAAGTCGGAAAACGCTGAAGATAGCCTAGCACCGGAGACGGTGGCATGATCGGTTAGTTTGGAAAACTGAGCAGCTATGCACCGAAAGCGATGGCTTTGATCCATGAACGTGACAACCAGTGTTGAATCGAGTCCCTGAGTACACCCCCAGGTAGGCGGCAGCTGTAGACCGCCTCACTTTATTTCGTACTTCGTTGCAACAGACTGTCCACCTCTCGGTCGCTATCACAGGGCTTGGTAAAAAGAGCCCTTCGAGGCAAACGGTCCTCTGGCGTACGAAGTACATGCCTATAGAGCACCTCCATGGCCGGAGAATTCATTTCTCCTAGAACTATCAGACGTACCTCAATATTGCTTATCCAATGTTCCCACCAGACTCGATGGCGTACTTATGTCCATTGCACTCAGATGCCACGTTGCTGATCCATAAAGCAGTATGGGTGGCACCGTTGCAGGGGTGAATGAAAATTTAATAAGCATGTTACGTGTAACTTCCCTGGGAAAAGATAAACCGGTGTCATTGCATACTCCACCAAAAGCAAGAGCTAAGTGGGCCCACATCAAGGATAAAAAGAACAATAAATTCTTCGGACAACGTTGATTTATTGAGGGATGATCCCTTCTGAATGCCTGTCGGCATCTTGCCATTCGGAGCTCGCGACACAAAAACAGGCCGTTTTGGTAGCGGTCTGATTTCGATCGAAGAAATTCGCGTAGTTTGAACTCAACCTCAGCCTTTCGAGCGCTCCCGCTTAGGCCCGTGCGTACGTCCTAGGAACAGATAACGGTTCTATTGCGAAACAAAGAGGGAAGGAGAACCCTCAAAAGGGGGTCGATCTTGCTGATCACGCGGCGGTTCAACTTATATTGCAAACTCTCAACAAAAAGAGAACAACTTTCTTGTGAAATTGTGAGAGGCAGCCTACTGTGGCGTCCTTTGAGCGCAAGAAGCAGGACGGTTCGAACGAGAACCGAGCCGTCGATAGGTGGATTTGTTAACCAATGCCCTTCAAGCAATGAGCACACCCCACCAGTTGGAGTTGGAACTCAAGACGCAAGGTGAGTTACTGTATACTTCCTTTGTAACGGATAACTTACCTTGGGGATACACATGGGTTTTAGGAAATCGGTTGCTATTGATGGTGCGGTAAAGTCCGGCTCATCTGCAGCGAAGTACGAGAAGCAACCCCATCCGGATGGCTTGTATCGAGGCACAAATAGGTGGGAGTAGGATATTAGGTACCACAAGGACAGGTAAGGTACCATCTGATCGTAGATGAATGAATGAATGCGGGAGCTGCGGTCGAAACTGGTTGGTAGCGACGTATGACCCAATGCGTTCGCCCCGGTAGTTGAGCGCCATCGTGAATCCAACCACAACGATAGGCCGCGGGTCACGACGGCAGTGGACAATTCTGATGGAGATAGATCCATGAGTCTGATGAAGGAAAAACCTTCAAAAGAAACCGACAGTAGAAAGTCAAACAAAATTAACGGTAAACGAGGCTAACGAGTTAAAAGCAACCGTCACTTACATTTATCCGGTGATTCGGTTCGTTGGTGTCCCCCTGTGCGCCGAATATCGCTGCCAGCGGGACCAAGATCTGGCTCTAAATCATCATGGTGCCACAAATCTTGGTGAACGTAAGCTGGATGAAAAATAGTAGACACCGTAAAATCCAGTGGATCTGAGCGTGGCTGGTCTGGGTGCAACGAGATGGACGTAGGTCCACCAGGAAGGGACCAACTCAGGTTTGGGATGAGGCCTAAATGAGTTATAAAGGGGTAAGAAAAGGCTTTTGAACAACTAGTGCGATGCACCGTCCGTAAATTTTACCATGAGACAGACCGTACAATGTCATACTGAAACGTCGGGGCGAATCAAGACTACTATTGAAAACCGAGATTTTTACTCGCTTGAGGTTGAATGGTCTCGAAATCCAGTCTGTAAACTAACGGACATGAGAAAGATATAACTGGAATTGGTCTAATTCGCAACCTTCGGGGGATTATCCTCTCTTCATGAAATGAAGGACGTTGCTGTGCACTGCATAGGACAGTTGTCCTTCTTGGGGGGTTTATATAATCATAAAACTAAAGCCTTTAGACGACAAACTAGGTTGACGTTGGTGTGGATGATACTTGAATTTGAACTTTCAGGAGACGTGAAGAGGCAGGATTCGATTTCCGAAAAAGTTTTCGGTAGATTTATTGCTGAGCAACGTTTTGCTTCTGTCACAAAAGCTTCGTCACGCCAAGTGACTAGGTTTCGAGTTTGATCGAGGTTTAAGGCGGAAGGAGAACCAATCAGCTAAGTCAAGCTAAATCTCTGTTGGGTGTCGGTCAAGGGATTTTAGTATGTTTGAGTGGTTGAACAAGTGTTGGGTCGTTGGGATACCTACTTGTGTTTTGGTCCAGGCTAGGGTCTAGTTCTTCTGGTTCGGTTCATTTGATGGTCCCTCTTGAACTTCGTTTGAACCTTCTGTCAGTCTGTGTGCGTGAGCTAGTGCTAAGAAAGTTGTGAAAGAGGGATGCTGAGACCTTTGGTTGGTTGGGGTTTTCACCCCTACCCCCCGGTTTTTTTCAAATGACCCTAATTGGATTGACAGGATTCGATTCCACGATATTTCGCTTGCCCAGATGAACGAGGTATGCCACAGTAGTTACACCGGTAAGGAACTCGTTTAACGAGCCTTAAATTTGTATCGCAATTCGCAGTCTGCAGCTTCAATTGCATCACACGTAATTGGATTAAAGATGTTGTTGACGTCACTGAGCCACACGACGCTGATACTCACTCGGTCACCGCCTTGTGCTGTGCTCCAAATTACCACATAGCCCACAGGAATACACAGAATCTACTTCGGATGTTGCTGAGATGCAGGGATTTCACGCATCCCTCGTTCCACACGTAGACCGTTGGATTCATGTTCTAAGTAAAACTTTGGTACTGTCCTGCACGGGAGTAGGTCAGCCGGTTTTTTCTCTTCAAAATGTCTACCCTTTAAAATTTTCAGGAATCCGAAGTGCTCTTAACACCACCCTATTGTGTAAGACTGCAGTGTCAAGTTAACTTACAACGGGATCAGTTGACCCTTGACTCGATCAGCTCAACGTCTTGGCAGCATCACCGGTACCGAAGTGATTTCATTTGTTGGCGTCTGTAAGTCCAAGATTTCCAATAGCACGTTAGGGTCCGGACCCCTTTAGCAATTTGAACAACGAAACAGAAGAAGGTTCGATCGTGAAAAGAAGGCTGTTCGCTCTTCAAAAAGACTGTTTTCACATCAGTTGTTTTCCCGACGCACCTCTCTGATCGATGTCAACTTCTTTAGGAGTATTTAGTGTAGCTCACCGATTTCGAGTAATGCGCCGTTTTCACTAATGCCAATGAGTCATTGTAGAGAAAAAAATCGTTCAGCTGTAGACCCTTTCGGGTGCCTAACTGCCATGCGACCAGAAGGAAGCACGAGGGCTGGGAAACTGCCAGGTTGCCCAAGCCTAGACAGCGGAAGTCGAGAGACAGAGGTCGGGTTCGAACCACAGACCTTTCGGTCAGTAAATTCGCGCTCTAACTACTTGGGCCATTTCGCCCCTTCATTGTAGAGAAAGAAGTGTGGAGTCACCAGAATCGACAGCTCTTGTTCAATGTGGCGTATCTGGTCAGTGATTGTCACTCTAGCTCACGAGTCCTTCAGATATCAACCGGCCGACGAACCTTGAACGATTAGGCAATCAGTAAATTGTTAGCCGTCTTTGAATCAAAGTTTTGTTGCACCGGAAGGACCGACAAAGGGTAGTCTGTGAACCCGGTGCTGGTCTCAAAAACTCACTATAAACTCTATCACTTTAGTGGAAAAACAAAGCCACAAGATTGTGTTGAAGGCACGGACGGGGGAATTCGTCAACAAACAAGACGTCTAAAACAACCAAGATATGATAAGAAGCAATGCAGCAATTCGTACGGATATGGCGGTAGACATGTAAAATACTACGTTAGTTTTGCAGATTGTTTGGGATGACCTGTCAGAATGACAATGAGCTGTACGCCCCAATTCGCCTTAGCTTCACACCCTGGGTTTGTGCATATCAACGTACAGGCATAACGAACGTTCTTGAGGTGAACATACCTGCTCGAGACAGATAGCAGGGCCTATGGTTACAGTGGATGACGAGGACAGCATTGAGAGAAACATGGACTAGTGTCGCTTCCTAGACACAAATCAGATCATCCCATCTGCCTTACCTTCGTCGTAGAGCAATCGTGGAAATGTCCAGGACGGTGCACCAGCATCGTGTGGACCGAAACACGAGGCGAACTCCGATTCGGATGGCTGAACGGCGCCAGTTATACAAGAGAATCGTGATTCTCGACGTTCCCACAAATCCGGATGGTTGCAAACCTTGCGCAATTGCATCACCAGATTGATTAGATGGGCCGTGGACGATGAACCCGCGCCTTCGAGTGCCGTCGAATTCGGTCCGATCTCGGCAAAACCGTTCGCACCAATCACTGTGCTGAGATCTTCCAAGCGAATTTTGTTACGAAGGCGCTCATACAGCAGTTGTTGACGTTGACTCAGTGGACAGTTGAGCGTGATTTCTGTCTATCGGTGTGTGTGTGTGTTGTGTAGAACAACAAACAGATGGCAAATTCAGAAAAACAGAACACAAAACAGGTACCATAAGCGAGGACTCATTTGAGTGTTTCATTAACGACAACAACCTATTTTTCATCACACAAGTAAATCTTGATCATTGAGGGGTGAGTAGTCTACTGAGGCCTAGTGAGTAGCAGAGAACAAGTCAAGATGAAACAGAGGTGTCTTCCTTGTGTTTTAACACCGGAAATGGCAGTCAAGCTGGCTAAAGAGGTCTGACACAAAAGTAAAGCTCCAGAATGATTTCATGTGACTTGAGAACTCCGCGCTCAACTGCAGCTGTATCCTCATCTGTGGTCATTTCGCAAACAGAAGTGTCAATACATATCAGGGCTGCTTTAGGCATGCTTGATGAGACAGTTGCCCACAGCAAGACGCAGGAAATGAACAGAACCGGCAACGATTATAATCTTGAGAATTGGCTTTTTTTAGTCAACCTGGTCTGAAAACAACTGTGAAACTGTCTCACTTTACAGCGACAACGCGCACTTCACAGATGTCAAGGGGGATGCCAAACGGCACTTTTTCGGGAGTGTAAACACTCATCACACACGGTACACAGGACTGAGTAGCAGTGTGATTTTGTGCCACGTATTAAACTAACTGAACGCACTCACCTTGGTGGATATTTCATGCTCCACCTCAGCCTTCGTGCGTCGGAGCATGAAGGGTTTTAAGATCAAATGCAATCGCGAGAGCTGATTCTCCGTGAAGCGAGATGTGGCCAAAGACATGGTGCTGCTAGCGCCTCCGCTGCCGTTGCCGCCGGCACTCGTCGCGGTCACTTGAGACTCGATGTCGCGAGAGAACCAATTGGCAAATTCATCATGTGAATCGAATAGAGTGGGCATGATGAAGTGCAACAAGGCCCAGAGCTGGAAATCGGGTAGATAACATGAAAGAAGGGTCAGACACGTAGCATGTGACAGCGATATTCGCCCAGCAAGCTATTAGATCAACCTGGATTCTCTGATTCCACTGCCCGCATCAAGGCTACAGTGGCAAGTGGTGGTTTCAGTGCGTGGTTGGTGCCGTTGGATTCTACGCGGCGTTCTTACAACCACATTATCAATGTGCAGAAACTCCCAAGCAGCGACATGAAATAGGTCCACTATAATCAGCAGCGGCAGCAACGTCAGTGTTGACGCTGATGCCTAACTGCTGTACAAACATAAACTTCAATTAATATTTCTTGGGGTGAGAACAGCAGGACCGCTTGCTGGCCTATGGAAACTAATATGTGCCTAGAAACGCCCCGGCGCTGACTCAGTGAGTCTGGAAAGAAACTAACAGCACGAACGTCAGAGGCAGCGTCAATTAGTCGCCATTTATTGCAATGTCTCCAGTCCAGTACAGAGAGGGAGTCACGGGGACCCCTTCAGCCAAGAAAGCGGTCCGAACAGTCGAATGATCACGCAGTGGTCACATGTATGGGCGCTAGGTCACCTGGTGTCTACTGCTGAATATTCGGCCATGGACAAGAATGGACAAATCCATCACGGTATCGGAATGTAGAAAGCCAAGAAGGTCGAACACCTTGAAGAAGTGAACCAACAGACGCGAGACGAAAAAGTAGAGTCAATGCCGTCCAAGGAAGATGACGGAAAAAACGGAACGGCAGATTGGAAAACACTCTTGGAGAAAATGATTTTAACGAATCGCAACGTTTTCATTATAGACTACTCAGCAATAAGAAGACTTTCAGAACTCAACAAGAGCATTCACCTCAAACCCGTCCTTAATTATCATCATTTCTACCGCACCCACAAGATAGTCGTATCTCATCTGTAGCTTTACAGTGAAAATTGCGCGGAGCTGGAGCAGAATAAAGCGGAAACGTGCTACTGATGGGCAGGTGACTGACGAGTTTCGGGCATATGAACCTGCGTAAACTCCGTACGGTTGTGTTGCTTTCGGTTATTGAACCAATCGACGTCGTGCTGACGAAAAAGCCGGTTCAAGTTGACGAGCAAAAGTCCCAGGCAGCTGGTTTAGCTTTTAATACGTCGGCTGGCAGAATAGGTGAGTTTACTGTGACGCATCGTACTCCCAATGTGTTTTGTGCGTGTTCCTGTGAAGTGTACATTCTGCGACTACTTCACCCGTGGGGATGGACAAGTGCAACCTTCGTATTGGTTGGCAGAACATACATCCTTTATTCGGTGCTTGAAGCCATCAGGCACCCCGTTAATTCAAAGTTGGAGTCGACTGAGAAATTGCTTCACTTAATGCAACGTGTCTTTCACGAACAGTGTCTTCACTGCACGTGTTGCGTGGCAAGACAGCGTTTATTCGAGGCTACAAATGCACAGTATAATAGCTCCCCATCAAGTAATGGAACACGCAATCCAAACAGTATTGCTTGTGACATTGTTCTCAGATAACGAAGTTGAAATTCCCTTGCGTCCAACGATGTAGTTAGTTCTACGCAAGCGATTCCTCTGGTTGATTCTGCTTGAAAACCGCTGCGCGAGATGACTCAAGTTGTTAGAGAGCCTATTTGCTGACCGGAAGGTTCGTGGTTCGAACCCGACCTCCACCTCTCGACTTCCCCTTTCTAGGCTTGCGCAACCTGGCAATATCCCAGCCCTCGTGCATCCTTCGGGTGGTATGGCAGTTAGGCACCGGAAGAGTGTTAAGGCTGAAACGACGACTGTTCCGCAGTTTTCACGTTCAGCTTCAGGTCTTTTGGAACCGACACTTCTACTTCCAGTTTCTCGTACTCCAGCAGATTGTCAAGGTCAATTGCATTTGGGATGAACCTTAGCAACAAAATTGACCATATGACCAATCGGTGTCTACTGTCGGGCCATTGGCCGGAACGGTCTTGCATCCTACCTGTAGTGTATGCATCAGATAAAAGCGTTCAGCTGTAGCACCCTTCCGGTGCCTAGCTGCCATGCCACCCGAAGGAAGTATGAGGGCTGGGATACTTCGAGGTTGCCCAAGCCCAGACAGGGGAAATCGAGAGGCAGAGGGGTCGGCTTCGCACCACGGACCTTCCGGTCAGTAAATTCGCACTCTAACCAACTGCGCCATCTCGTCCCCTGACAAAGGTAACGCGCGACACATAATACGGAAAGCCGTTTGAACACATAGTGCATTCGTTCCACTCAGAAAGGAGTCTACATCGATTCCAAGTTTTCTTCAGGTTGACAATGGAACGGCATAGACACTAGTTAAAGTTCTTTTGGTCAATCCCTTTGNTTCTATGGTCAATTCCCTTTGTGTGGTTGTTTTGAAACTCATCTCATCCGATCGGGCTCCATATGCGCCCTAAAAATAACCGGTTTCATTCATTCATACATACTACACTTGTGACATTACAGACACCCTAAGACAACTATTACGGTGTCCTTCCTCTGTCTCACAATAAGGACGGTTTTAAGTGTCCGCCAAGAAACTAGCAAAACAAACCGCCCAGGTCTCACATCAGTAGATCCGATTTAATGTACAGACAAGACCGAGTCGGTGGTTGCCTCTGTGACACACTCATTTGCCCACCAACTTGGTTTTCACAGTAGATTTAACTGGATCCTAGCTGAATCTCTCTTCAACTGAATGTGCTGTAAGAGGAACACCTCATGTTTCAGTTAGTGCGCTATTCGAGATATCGCAATCGATTTTCTTGAAGGGAACTAGTCTTCGACAGCCCACGACCCGTTTCGCCCTTCCACTTCGGTATCATTAGGCAGTGCAGTCCCCGAGTTTCCATCAAGCCAGAAGGTAGAAAACGGTCGTGGGCTGCCGAACAGTTTCCAGCAACCTTGAGAGTAGCGTTCCTTCAGGAAATAGTGCCGCTCTCTGTGTACCATGCCGAGGATTGTAATGGTGTTCTCGAATGGTTCCGGACGTCGAAAAATGCAGTTTGCTCATGCATTCAGTTGGAGTCCTGATTGGAAGAGGAACGTGCCGAATAGACCAGCTATCTCGTTCGCGTCGAATCGTCTGCTAGGATGGACTCTGGGTTACGTTGCAATGAAACTAACCATTCTAAGATATCTTCTGAACAAGAATAAGCATCACGCATGACTCACCTCTTGCATGGTGTTCTGAATGGGAGTCCCGGTCAGGAGTAGGCGGTTGCGACATTTGAAAGAAAGCAGGATACGCCATCGAAGACTAGAATGAAACAACAGGTAATCGAGATGAACTTGGAAGCGGAAAACGGACATTGTCGGTCTCATTGCCATCATCACTGTTAGCTGTAATAACCGCGTACTTGTCGTACAGAGGTTGGAGCTGCCACAGCCTCTTCCTTCGATGATTTGGGGAGGTGAGGTAGGTAGCTGCGAATTGGAGGCGGGAGCTGATAAATTAGTGCGTAAATACAGCACTGTAGGTGGACTGTTAGGTGGGGGGATTGGGAAGGGAGCTATGCACTGAAGGCAATAG